TCTCATGTCTCCCCTGGTCCCTCTCTTCACTAGTTTAGTTTACTTTACTGTCATTGCACCTCATGCAATGAAATCAAACACCATCTTCAGTGCACATCATGACCATGAAAATAAACACAAACACACATCCTTCACACTCCACACATTGAACCGAAAACCCCTGACCCCACACCAACATTGCACTGTACAGTAGAATTCAAAAGACTAGACTAGCCAGGCCCAGTTCCTGCAACCATTCATCGTATGTTTGAGCCTCCAGCCCCCTAATCATCCTGGTTGCTCTTCTCTGCATCTCTTTCTAGAGTCTCAACCTATTTTTTTTATAGTGTGGTGACCAAAACTGGATGCAAGTACTCTAGGTGTGGTCTTACCAAGACTTCATAGAGCGGTATTAGTACCTCCCTTGATCTCGATTGTATTCCTCTGTTAATGCAACTTAGGATGTAAGTGTCAGGATTTCAGCAGGCATAGAAATGTTTTATGAGTTGACAATAAGGTCATGGAAGCTCGTGCTTTTCAGAGATTGGCGGCTCTTTCCACCTGAAGCCTCAGTTGGTGGAGGAGGATGCTTTTCATTTTGCTTGGAGAAGATAGTTTATTTTATTTTATTTATTTATTTATTTGATTTGCCAATTGTTTACAAGATAATAAGTATAAGTGTATACATAGTTGTGAATACATGAAATGGGTACATATAAGAAAAATAAAAGAATAAGAGAAACAATAGGACAGGGACGGTAGGCACGTTGGTGCGCTTATGCATGCCCCCTACAGACCTCTTAGGAAAGGGGTGAGGTCAATAGTAGACAGTCTAAGGTTAAAGTTTTTGGGGTTTGGGGAGATAGACAATCCCTCCCTTGAGCTTGGCCCTCTATGCCTCCCTTCTCTGGCTCAGAAGCAAGCAGTCATGCAGATGGTATGATATCATTGTCCTGAAAAGGCATCTGTTGACCAAAGGCACTTAAAGGACACAAGAGGGCTATGATGCAACCCTTGTTGCTTTGGCCCAATGGAAACTTTGGGTTCAGTTTACAGGCTATGACGTGTGGTTCTCCATGGAGAGACTGGCCCTTCACCAAGTGTCTGTTTTTTAACCTCGGACTTCAATCCACCAAAGCGGTCTCACTTCCTAGAATGGTGGGGATGTTCTCATCTCCTGTCTATGTTGAGGGTGACAGGGAAGACCACCTGGTTCCGCTGCTCTACAAGTCCTGCTTGGAAACAGGTGTCATTTCCCCCCTACCCTCCAAAGGAAGGTAAAATTGGCAACTTCTTTTCCTGGTTTGAATGAAGGAGACTACCTTTCATGGGTTATTGTTGCATCCAGCGAAGTCGTTCTGTTGCTGTGTTCACACAAGAGGCTTAATCTCGGTGCTGGTTGATCGTGCGCCGAGAATAAACTAATCCAAACGCATTGTATGCACTCCCAAGGTTGGCAATCATTTGGCCCAAAACTAAAAATGTACGAGTTCAAACGTTCCCTTGAACTTCTTGTCCTCTTTATTAACTATTGCCCGAATTGTTGATACTAATTAATTGCAATGTTGTGATTTTGCTCCTTTTTGAAAGTTAGTTCTCTAATCTTTTTTTATAAACTTTATTACTCTTTTATATCTTTAAAAACAAAACATATAAATATTATGACATTAACCGTGTGTGACATCTATCTCATATACTTCTATGTTGTGCTTATTTACAAATATATACAGTTCATGCAAATATAAACCTTTAATCTACGAAATGCTTATCGTTAACTCTTTTCATCATCCCTTTGTCCTAATTCAATCCAATCGTACAATTTTTCCCAAATTCTATAATATTCAGACTCCTCTTTCTCTTGTAACATCAGGGTTAATTTATCCATCTCGGCACATGCCATTATTTTTTGAACAATCAGTTTATCTGTTGGTTTAAAATTCTGTTTCCAACATTGGAGCATAGGCAATTCTAGCAGTGGTTAAAATATGTAATATTATGTATTTTGTATCTTTCCCATATTTCTTTTTAATTATCCCTCATAAGAATAATTCTGGTTCCAAATCTATTTGTTCCTTAAAGATCTCTTGTAACCACTTTTGAATTTTAAGCCAGTACTTCTGGGCTTCTAAACAAGACTACCACATATGATAGTAAGTACCTTTTTTCTTCTTACATTTCCAACATGCCAGATTCATGTTGGGATATATCTTTGCCAATCTCGCCGGAGTCAGGTACCATCTATAAAACATAGATGTTCTCTTTATATGAAGTCAATTTTGTTAATTTCTAATTTAAATTCCAAATATTCTCCCACTCTATCAAATTTATATTATGTCCAATATTTTGAGCCCAAGCTATCATACATCCCTTATCTACCTCTTCTTCCAATTCTACATCTAATAGATATTTATAGATTTTTGTGATTTTTTTTAAATCTGGGCCTGTTAAAATTTTATCCAATTGTTGTAGTTCCAAATATATTCCATACTCTTCTTTATCTTTTTATATCTATTTTGTAGGTATGCCCACTAATCAATATATATCCCTTGTTTTTGGAGGTCTTGGGTCAACTTTAGATTTCTTTGTACATCTAGAACTTTTGTTGGTAAACCTGGTTTTCCTTCCTTCCTTCCTTCCTTCCTTCCTTCCTTCCTTCCTTCCTTCTCTAGATCAGTGGTCACCAACCAGTGGGCTGGGGACCACTGGTGGTCCGTGAAAATTTTTTAGTGGCCCGCAGAGAAATGTCACCCAAAGCAACCCCCAAAGCAATTAATCCAGGCTGCGCGGGAACACAAGGCTGCACCATCCACATGGCCCATGGGAACACAAGGCTTGCGCCACTTGCATTGCGAACAACATGAGGTAGTGAGGGGAGGGGGGAAAGAGCGGAGGGGGGGAACTTGCCCCACTCGCCCCAGGCGCCTGGCCTGGCCACCGGGCTGCTTCTTTCCACTTCTTTCTTCTTCTGCTTTTGGCTGCACGCAAGGAAAGCAGCAAAAGTTTTTCTTTCTCTCCCCCAAACTCCGCCAGAAATGAGTGTTTGGGACTCTGCAAGGCCTCCTGCTCCAAGAGGCTGCGCCGGCACGACAAGTCTCACAAAGACTCATTTCTGGTGGAGTTTGAGAGAGAGAAGGAAAGACTTCTGCTGCTTCTGCTGCTTTCCTTGCATGAAGCCAAAAGTCTCCCTCCCCCCCCCCCCCCCCCCCCCGAGAACAGAGCTGGAGACGGTATCCTGTGATCTCAAATAAAGAACGATCGATCGATAGGAAAACAGGGTGGGGAATTTTCCTGCAGACTTTTTTGGGGATTTTCTGGTCCACGGGATTTAAAATTATGAGTTTGGTGGTCCCTGAGGTCCAAAAGGTTGGCGACCCCTGCTCTAGATCACGCTCACCATTTCTTGATTTCACTCAATCACTCAAGTGATTAAACTTTACTCTGGACACCAGGTTCAAGTCTGTATTCTTCACTAAGGCTAAGTCCAGGTACTTCTAGCTGGAATATTCTTCTCTCTATCCTTAACTTTGCTTCCGTCTTCTTCTTGGGTTACATTGATAGCCGTGAAGACAACCAAAGTATAGATGCTTGGCATCCATCCATGGGATTTCTCCGTATGGTTTCAGAGCAGCCTGTCTTTGTGTATAAAGGACACCATGGTGGCTCAGCCGTTAAGATGCTCAGCTTGTTGGCTGAAAAGCCAGCAGCCCTACGTTCAAGACCCATACACCACACGTTGGGGTGAGCTCCTGTCCTCGCCTCAGCTCCTGCCAAATTAGCTGTTTGAAAGCATGCAAATGCGAGTAGATAAATAGGTACCACTTCAGTGGAAAGGTGACAGTGTTCCCTTATCTCATACTGGCCACATCACCACAGAAATGTCTTCGGACAGTGCTGGCTCAATGGCTTTGAAGCAGAGATGAACACTGCCCCTTATATCTAATGTGTTGAAACTGCAACTCCCAGAATTCCTAGCTAGCCATTCCGGGAAAAGGCTATGTCAATATGCATGGATGCCTACATTTGGAAGGCATCGCGTTGGAGAAGGTTATTCAACGGTTTCTTGCTTATATTCTCAGCCTGTTTAAATTTGGATTTCCTTTTTGGTGGCTGGAGTGGAAGTATCTGTTTTCAGCATTCCTTGTTTTCCCGCCCCCCGGTCCAAATTGACCTTACTGTGGTGTCCAAAGCCAATACAATAACAGGCAACTTGTTCAAGCTGGCCTTGCAGCAGTGGTGGGATTCAAACATTTTACTACTGGTTCTGTGGGTGTGGCTTGGTGAGCATGGCTTGGTGGGCATGGCAGGGGAAGGATACTGCAAAATCCCCATTCCCTCCTCACCCCACTAAACCTGCTTTCCAGCTCCGTTCTCCTGTGCAGGACAACCAAAGGAGACCCAGCCAATCAGCTGGGACTCAGGAGGCGGAGAAAAGATGGGGGCGGGGTCAGTCAGAGGCGGAGAACCGGTAGCGGAAATTTTGAGTAGTTGGTAACCTTCCCTCAGGAGTGGGGCGAGAATGGAGAATTTACAGTATCCTTCCCTTGCCACACCCACCAAGCCATGCCCACAGAACTGGTAGTAAATTTTTTTTGAATACCACCACTAGGGCCAGTCAGAGGGAATATCTGCCGGTTTTCCGAACGACTCAAAATTTCCGCTACTGGTTATCCAAAACTGGTCAGAACCTGCTGAATGCCACCTCTGGTTCCCACCCCACTAACCTGCTTTCCAGCTCTGTTCTCTTGTGCAGGGCAACCAAAGAAGACCCAGCCGATCAGCTGGGACTCAGGAGGTGGAGAATAGATGAGGGGGGGGCAGGGCTAGTCAGAGGTGGGATTTGCTGGTTTTCCGAACTACTCAAAATTTCTGTTACCGGTTCTCCAGAACTGATCAGAACCTGCTGAGGACCACCTCTGTCTCGTAGACAAAAAGTCTGTTGCTTTCATGCTTGTTTTGGAACGAGACGTGTTTCTCCAGCACGAATGCTCCTTGATTCTGCTAACGTGTAATGTCCTCATCAGGATATCCACCGCCAGAGGTGACCTGGTACAGAGATAACGAAGAGATGGATCGATACTGTGGATTGCCGAAATATGAGATTTTGCGACATGGGAACCGACACACCCTGCAGTTATACAAGTAAGGAAGGAAGGGAGCACCTATCTCTTGGGCGACAACCCATTCGCCAGCTGTCTCTGGGGTGGGAGAGGAAAAGCCCGTGTATTGTTCAGTTAAGCTCAGAATGACATCGTTCGTAGACCATCTGTCCAAGCGTCTACCATTTCCTAAGCACAAGGTCAAAAGCTCTGTTACAAACAAGCAAATGATTCCAGTTATTCTAAGAAAGACGGCCTTGCAAGCCATGAGGATTTAAGCAGCCTAATTTCTTGTCTCCTGGCCAGGTTGGAGGGGTGCCCTGGAAGGCCAAAACCATCTTTGTACTAAGCAGGCGAGGATACTGATTCTTTTGTAAGGAGCGTTGGGTGAGAAAGGGGAGACATTGCTTTGGTGCCAGTGAGGACCGTTCTGGCAACAGGGTGATTGATAAGTCCAACAATATGACAACCCTCCTGGATTTGACCCAAAGGTCCATCTCTTCCATGAGGTCCCATGAGCAGGTTTGGAGACCAATCAAACCTCTCTCCCTAATTCCCAGGAAATTAAGGTGGCCTCTCTAAATTTGATGTGGTGTCCTTGACTAGTTGACCTTGATAGGTTCTGCCTGTTTGATGGCGCTTAAATTGTCCTTTCAGGCCATCAACAACAGTCTTCTCCAACCTGTACACCTTCTAAATATGGGATCTTTATTGGGAACTTATCTATTGGGATCGATAAAGAGCCTTTCTAATGCCCAGTGCCTCATCATCTGTAGGGGAAGAGCAGGCAGAGCTAGGAGGTAGAGTTAAACAAGTCATCAGTGTGGAATCATTATGTTCCCACAAATAGTGGGAAGTCCAACCCCGCTTGAATTCCATTGAGCCTTACCTGGTGCCCATTTAGTGTTGAACTTGCAATAAATATTCTGAACTGCAACTTAATGTAGGGTCCTGATTTTTTTTGCACCTGACATCATCATACCTACCCAAGACAAAATGATCTTGGAGGGAAGTTGCCAGCAGCTGCTGGATGAGGGGTGCCAATAATAGCTGATAGCGACCATTATAGCTGGGAAGTTCCCAATCTCTGTTGAATGGTTTTTACAGTCACCGCTGGTGCATCGCAAATAATGCCAACCACAATGTTTATGTCCGGAGGACATTGCTTGAACAGCTGATTAGATGTTAAATTTATGTTTTACTGACAAATAAATTATGGTATCTGCTTAGATAACTAGGAAATTAGATGCCTCCAGCTAGGACCGAAGAGGAGAGGAAGTTTCATAAAATAATTCCTTGGAAAATGGTTAGTGTTAAGTTTTGCAGCTATACTTTAGATGATCCCTTAGAAAGCGCACTAATTTATCATGGATTTTTATACTGTCCCATTTTGACCATTGTAATTGGAGAAAATATAAGAATGGTTGAGCTATGCACAGTTGTCTTTCATGTTCTGGACTTCATTCAGCTCTACTACAGTACTCAGTTGAGAGTAGTAGTCTAATATATGTTGAGTTTACCTACTTGGTGGAACACAGTGTAGTAATTCAGGACCCTGGACATGAAACAAACAAAATGTTAAAAAGTTATGGTATTTATGTAGTTACTTACCAAGCACATCTAAATTGTATTAAAGTAACCAAAATATCTTTGCAATCCCCAAGGCATGTCACAACGTTTGAGCACCGCTAATGTTTGGAAAGTGAAAGTCGAAAAATTTGACATGCCCTGCCAATGGACAGTTGTTCCACCTGAGTCCACCCACTTGAAATTCAAGAGATTTTACAATTAACTTCCCGTGCGACACCTTTTCACAATCTAATTCTCTAGAAATATGTGGAACTTCTTTGATCTCTTTCAGCGTCCAAACCAGTGGTGGGATTCAATTTTTTTTTACTACCGGTTCTGTGGTTTGGTGGGCCTGGCGTGGCTTGGTGGGCGTGGCAGGAGATGGATACTGCAAACTCTCCATTCCCTCCCCACCCCACTAACCTGCTTTCCAGCTCCGTTCTTCTGTGCAGGGCAACCAAAGAAGACCCAGCCAATCAGCTGGAACTCGGGAGGCAGAGAATAGATGGGTCCAGTCAGAGGTGGGATTTGCTGGTTCTCCGAACTACTCAAAATTTCCGCTACCGGTTCTCCAGAACTGGTCAGAACCTGCGGAATACCACCTCTGGTCCAAACTCCCTCACTTATGGCCATTCTAATTGGGAGGTTCTGGGAACTAAATCCTGATATTGCTGAGGAACGTCAAGAAAAAGACGGTTGTCCATTACTCATAGCAAATTCAACTCTCTTGGTCCAGAGTTCCCTCATGACGGCGTTTCTTTCTGGTTCACAGGTGTCAAGAGGAGGACGCAGCTATTTACCAGGCCTCAGCAAGAAACAACAAGGGCATTGTGTCCTGTTCTGGGGTTCTGGAGGTTGGAACCATGACGGAGTACAAAATCCACCAACGGTGGTTTGCCAAGCTCAAGAGGAATGCCGAAGCCAAGCTGTATGAGATAGAGCAGAGCAGGAAGCTAGGGAAGGAGAACGTGGAGATGGAACAGCTGAGACGAGTCAGTCCAGACAGGTTCCAGAGGAAGCGACGGTTGACCGGAGAGGTGGGCATGCGTTCGGGGACCTCCCTCTGGGACAAGGAGGAAGTGGCCAAGGTGCGGATCCCAGACGGGAAGGCCTGTTTTGGTGAAGATGAGAATGCCAAGAACAGAGAGGCCTCTCTGACTGCCCCCACCCTGTTCCCCAATGACTTCTTAGCAGGACATCTGGAAACAGAAGTGGCCACCGCCAATGGGGACTCTTCCCTGGAAAGCGGGGAGGAAAATGGAGAAAGGGATGACCATGGTTTTCTTCAATATATTTACGAAACGGTGGGAATTGTGACCAAGGAGTTTTCAGCGAAGAAGAAGAAGAAAGAGGAAGATAAGGCAGCTCCATCAAATGCGAGCCAAGAGGACTCCCAACTAGAGGATGGCATGCAACCAAGGAGAAAGGTCTCCATGCAGAAGGAGGCTGGGCCTGCTATCCCGTCCCCAAAAGTTGCATCTCCTATAGTCAACGGAAGACCAGTGGAAACCCAACCCCAAGAGAACTGCCTGCTGCATTCCCCCGCTTCCAAACCCGAGGTGCATTTTTCGTTGAAAGAGATGTATTATGAGGCTGGAGCAAAGCCTAAAGCAGAGAAGAAGGTGCTAGAAAGTAAGGCAAGAGCTATGGAAAAGGCCCTTCCCACTAGAGACTTTTCCAACACGGAAGACACTCTTCCAACAACTGTTCAAGCTTTGAGAAGGGCCAAGGCAGAAGAAGAAAGAAATGAAACCCAAGCCAGGCAGAAATCTAAGGGCATGGAGATAAAGCAGGGTGAAACGGAAGCCCCTGGGACTGACCGGGAATCGAACCCCCAGCAATTCCAGCATCCCAGCCAGGCAGTGGAGCCCACCGCAGAGGTCCTGATAGGACATCAAGTGGAATGTCCAAGCAGCAGTGCCCCAAAAAGCGATGTTTTGCAGCCTGGCCAAGCTGGTCCACCAAGAATTGGAAGTCCACCTCTCTTTGCAGGAGGGGAAGTCCTTCTCATCCGTGAAACGGACTTGCTGGACTCTGAAGCCCAGCCAGAGTTGCAGCTCCCAGAGGCTGGACCTGTGGATTTGACCCTGCCTTTGCAGGGAGCAAGGCTAGCCCTTACCCCAGTAGCCTGGGAGGAGAAACCGTTGCCTGATCCAGGGCCTTCTGAGGTACTGTAAGTTCTATTTTTCTTCTTCTTGAGTGAGGCTGACCTCATGCAAAATGCTTGCCAACCAGCTCTACAGCGACTGCCCAAGTTCTGCCCGCTATTTATAGCGGGGGGCATGCGGGAGCTGTGGCAGGCCAGAAAAAAAGATGAGAGAGTGGTCTCTGGGTGGGCCAGGACTAATGAATCCCTGGCTTTGAAACAACCAGGATAGGTAGCCGGCTTCCTTGGTTCTTCGGTAGGTGGCAACCCGATGGTACAGCCAGGTACAGCCGTAGGGTGAGGTCAGTCCCAGCTTTGGTGTGCATGTGGGCCAGTACGAAGTCAGTACTCAAAGCTGTACTCTTGACTCCAGGGTTCCTTCTCCACCAGCATGTTCACCGTGCCTGCCAGCCGGGCCCCCAGCTGTCTCTGACACTCACCAGCCAGCGTCTATTTCCATCGCTTTGATGCACGTTTTTTCCATACGATTCTGCTGCAGGGAAGAAGGGTGGGTGGGGTGGACTACGCATGTCTTAGTCACTCTTGGTGTTTCCTAACTCATGGGGGCCTCGCAGGGCAAGGTTCACGCTCCGGACTGTCTAGGCATCCAGAGAGCTTACCGATGCACTTGCGGAATGCACGTAGGTGGGCTTCGTGGTGTGTCAAGCAATCTGCCCCGGCGTGGGAGGCATGTGGGTGAGATGCTTTTGGATGTGGAAGGAGGTTTTTGTCTCATGTTTCGACAAGATGCAGGATTTCCTTGCTTCTGGGGGACTCCAGATCCCCCAAACGGGGGGTTTGGGAGACCTTTGGAATGTGAACAGATGATGTGGTTTGTTCTGAGTTAGATCATTGGCCCATCTGTTCCAGGCCAATGTTCTGGCATTGGAATGCCTGGCTTGGTTTGCAGTCCCCGAATTGGGTCCCAAACTTCTTCCAACCAAGACCAGGAGAAGAGACAAAGAAGCAAAACCACGGGTGGCCCTCCACATACGACCACAACCGAGCCCCAAATGTATGTCACTAAGCGAGACAGCCACGAAGTGTCCCATTCTTGCCATTTTTCTTCCCACCGGGGGGTGAAGGGAATCACTGCACTGAGTTACATGGTGGCTTACAAATCTAGCTTCCCCGTTTGGCTCAGCTTGTCAGGACATCGCAAAAGGGATCTGATATGAATCAGTGGGCCAAGCATTTGAATTTTGAACATCTGACTGTGGGGATGAGCTCAGTCTAAGTTAGAATGTGGGGGGAAAAGGGTTCCTAAAAGGGATATTACCAGGGGTGGACTTCAAAAACTTTAACAAGGGGTTCTCTGCCCGGTTGCTGAGTGGGTGTGGCCATGGTGGGCGTGGCCTAGTTGGCCTCCTGCACCATGGTGGGGAGGGGGGCGTTTTTGCTCTCCCTGGGCTCCGGAGGCTCTTTGGAAGCCAGAAACAGGCCCATTTCCGGCCTCCTCGAACTTCCAGGAGGCCCGTTTTTCGGCCTCCTCGCGCCTCCGTGTGAACCCTACACTTACCTGCGTCCAAAACGGGCCACGTGGGGACTCCTGGGAGAGGCAGGGCGGAGTCAGCCAGGAGTGGGATTTGGGGGTTCTTCAAACTGCACAGAATCTTAGCTTAGAGGCTAACACCTGCAGCCCACCCCTGGATATTACTCTTCCCTTCCCCTCTTTCTTATTATCTTTCTCTTTTTCCGATTTCCCTTGAATGTTTTAAGACTTTTATCGTACGGGGGAAAAAACTCTTAATTAAAATCGATAACCTAATCAGCACGTAGCCTTGCCCAGGAACAGTTTTGCTTTGGTATACTGGTATGTGAGCAGGCTCACCGGAGCCGCTGACCCCGTCGAGGGACTATTCAGATGACTTCCTTCTTCTTATCGCCCTCTTAAAGCAGCTTTCAGCACCTGGGTGTGTCCTGGTGATTGGACTGCAGTCTCTTTGGAATTCGTCTGGCCTCTCACCATTTTAGGAGATGCAGGAGAGCTTCGGCCTTTTGATGAAGATGTGGAGCTAAGAACAGGCATAATAACCATTGGAAGGCTTGGTGAGGGCGCTAATTCCAGGCGTCGGACTTTTTTCTGCATTTCCAGCAAAAAAGTCCATAAAGGGTTTCCAGTTTTTTTTTTTATCCAAGTAGTTGTTCTTCCTTTTCTAACCAAACAAGCGAGTTTAGCCCACTTTTAACCACCTTAGGCTTAAAACACAAAACGAAAGCCTGCTGTTAAAGGGGGTCGGTCCCAGTTAGATCAGATTTCATGATGCTCGTTCCTGAGTCGGCGCGCAAAGAATTGCGTGAGCGACATTTGTGGAAAGAAATAGGCTTCGGCCAAAGGTACCCCAAAGTTATTTGGATGCCTTTCATCGGAAGAGAGAGAAGGGTTTTTGTATTAATAGAGAAATTGCGGAGGAGGTCGCATGCTGCACGGTTTGGCAAGCTTCCAGCTGATTCACTTGTCAAATAATATTGCTGATTTGTGAGGATGTTTCTAACCCGGCGCAAAATTGCAAAATTTTCAAGATCCTTAGATTGCAATGATCTCGTACCTTTAACTGAGACTTGCGCGAGCCCAATTAAAATGCTCGGCAGCTTCGTTCTTGCACTTGTTCATAAAACTGGGCTTAGTTTTAACCTGGGTTAGTTATTTGCGGGCATAGCTGGTTGGTCAAGCCCAGCTGGTCAGTTTAACCACTAAAATAGACTGTGCAAAAATGAGAAAAAAGGATTAATTTAGTGCCCCGTATGTGAGCGAACGATGTGTAAGCCAAGTCTTCATGCGGGCCTCTAAGCCATGTGCTCAATGGGGAGCTTAGATGTCGTGGCTTGCTTCTTTCTCGATCTCTCTGTCAGCTTAAGACTTGTCAGCAAGGTTTATTTGGGTTCTTGGAACCAAATGTTAAAGAGAAAAAAAGTTATTCGGGGACTTTGGGAAAAGCCAACCATTCCCCACTGAACTTGGAGAGGGAAAACATGATTTTCTGTTCCTGCTGAAGGATGTAGTTTCCTCTGCTGCCAACACCTGAATGTACCAACATCCAATTTATTTCTCTGGTTGGCTTTCTCCCAAGCGCAACTGACATCTAAGAATTAGATTAAAAAATGCATAGTGTTTCAAAGAACAGCTGGGGAGAAAGAAAAGACGTGGTTTGGTAATGATACAAGGAAAACAAAAAAAAAAATTATGCACTGACTCTCAATCCAGAAGGGTATCAAAAGCGAGGAACGGATTGGAGAGGAGAAACGAGGTAGCAAATGCCTTTTTTCCCCCAAATGCAGCATTGAAAGAGGGAGGAAGTCTTGATTGAAGTCTTGCTGGTCTTGATTCCTACTTTTGAAAGAAAAGAATAGAGTAGAGTAGAGTAGAGTAGAGTAGAGTGGAGTGGAGTGGAGTGGAGTGGAGTGGAGTGGAGTGGAATGGAGTGGAGTGGAGTAGAATAGAGTAGAGTAGAGTAGAGTAGAGTAGAGTAGAGTAGAGTAGAGTA